AGGAGCACCGTGGCTCGTCCCAGGGAAGGAGGAAGGAGCTGGGGCGGCCGGGAGCCCAGGCATGGGGAGGAGCACTGGGGGGCAGCTTGCAGGGTCACAGTCTCCCTCTGGCTGCCGTTTCCCCGAGTGCTCTGGGTGCCCACGGAGGAGGCCTTGCTGCAGGGAGGGAGCGGAAATGCTGAGCCGGCAGAGCGGGAAGCTGGCAGCACACCCGGCGCAGCACAGCCAGCCCGCGCACGGGTGCACGGTCCAGCCCCAGGCATGAGGAGCTGCACGGGCAGCTCTGTCCTCTGTCTGAGAGGGCCTCGTGGACATGTCCTTCCCAGGCTTCATGGACCTGCAGCATCTGCTGGAGCTGAGCAGCACCGAATAATGTGTGTGTGCTGGGGGGACCTCTGGGGTCACTGGTCCAGCCCCACTCACAGCAGAGCCAGCCTTGACATTAGATCCATCTTCAGTCTTAGATCAGGTCACTCAGGCTTCATCCAGGCAAGTTCTGAATACCGTGAAGGATAGAGATCCCACACCCTCGCTAGGCCTCTGTTCCAGTGTTTTACCACGCTCATATGGAAAAAAAAGTTTCCTGTCATCTAGCTGGAATTTCCCTTGATGCAACTTGTGCCCGTTGCCTCTCATGCTTTCACTGTGCATGTCCCTGAAAAGTCTGGCTTCATTTTCCCTGTAACTCCCTTCAAACAGTTGCAGACAAGCAGTAAGATCACCCCAAAGCCTTCTCTCCTCCAGACAGAGCAGACTGCTGACACTAAACCACACGGTCCTCACCACCCCCTCAAGCTGATGCATGGGAAAACTCCTGTCTGAATGAGCACTTTTGGCTACAGTGGGTGCTGGAACATGATTGGGGCTGGTGGGGGCTCTCCTGCGGCACCCCCGCTCGCAGTGGGACCATTGCTGGCCCCAGCTAGCCACGGGCAATTTGGAGTCACACAGGCCATAAGTCCTGGCACTGTGGGGTCAGGGAGAATAGGGTGAAACGTGGGATCTCCTGCCATTGCACATCGGGTGCCTTGGAGGACAAGATGTCTTCATGGACTGAGCCCAGCAAGATGCCACCCTCTGTAGCTGACAGCAGTGAGCCTGCAGCTGATTTAGGGGGAACAAGCTCATTAAAGGGAGGAATGTGCCCCAACCTGTCCACGTGGCCCCTGGGAACAGCAGGGCCACAGCTGAGTTCACAATGTTCAAGTCCGTCCCTGGTTCAGGAGTCCTAGTTAGTCCCAGCCTCAGGATCCCAGCAGTCAGGTAGCTCCAGGACCAGCGTCTCCTCAAAAATCTCAGGCAAGCTGTCTGTTGCCTGTCTTATTCCTGGCCACCTGACCCACTCACTCCTCTCCCATGCCTCCATCGCTTTGCTCCCAGGATCAAATGCTCTCACTTTTCCTGGCTGTTCTCACAGAAGGCCGGTCCCTGACCAGCATGCAGGTAGCAGTGCTGGCTGAGCGCTGCCCCCAGGGAGGGAAGTGGGCAGGGAGGCGGCGGGCATGGCCCGAGGAGGCGGATGTGATGCTCTCGCTTGGGGACTGGCTTGCCCTAAAAAGCTGACTGCCCCCAGCGTGCCAAGCAGGGCCGGCCGGTCGGTCCCCCTGGGGTTGCACACAGGGACACATGCGCACGCAAACACACACGTGGGACGGGTGCTCTGCTGTGAGCATCCCCAGGAGCATGGTGCTGGGGCTCCCTGCGATGCCCCTCCAGGGAGTCGACCCGGCGAGGCTAGGGTAGGCGATGGCAGGGCTGGGAGGAGGGTGCATGTGGGCAGGATGGCTTGAGAGCTGCGCATGCTGGGCTGCTGCTGCATGTGTCCACCTGGCCACTAGTGTGAGAAGTTGTGCTGGGCCTCTGGCAAGAGGAGCAGCAGGAAGAGGCTGGCCAGCACCTTGCTCTGGCTCGGCTCATCCTCTCCTCCCAGGTCGGGGGCAGAGGGTGGAGGAGGGAGCTGCTCCCAGGGCTCCATCCGTCTGGGAGAGTAGGTGCCTGAGCCCTGGGAGGAGGCAGGGCCCATCCGTACCCCCCAAGCCTGGCCCGAGGGCCAGCAGTGAGCAGGAGCAGAGCGGATAGCTCTCAGCCATTGTGTCCCGCGGGGCCTCCCCCCCA